TAGTTATCCTATCCAATAATATAAACACAACATAAAACCTCACAAATAATCTTGCATAGCTCATTGGCCGCGTTAACTCAAGGGGAGTAAAAGGAACCATCCAGCTTGATCTTCTTTACTTAGCTTGACGTGTACCTGTTCAAAAATGTAACCACACATCGAGGCGACGCGGGCCATAAGCACTATGATTGGTCGGCTGGGTAGCCTTGCAATGCCTACGGGCCGACAGGAAGTGTAACTTTTACTAGCGGCCAAAACAGCGGCTGTAACACGGTGGCTCAATATATTTGACCGTCAACCCGAGCGAAATGACTCGTTTTGCTATCAGAATGTGATCCATGCGGTCGATAACATTTGAAAAGGCTGTACCAGCCGCATGTATACAATTTTACCCCCATTCACATTAGCGGAGGGCTACACTGGAAGTTAGCCTGCTTGGCCGGCAAAAGTAAACACAGTGGATGCTGTAGCGCTGCTGCCGACTAGTGTTTGGGGGTGTAATTGCAGAATGATGGAGATAAATGCATGGCTTATTGGCGTAGCTATGCACATAGACCCTACGCTGGAGTATAAATCAAGCTTAAGTCATATGATCGCCTGATTGATATATTAACAGAATCATCTCGTTGCACACAGTATGGCTTTCTAGTCGTTTTTTAATTAATTATTTTTTAGAATTGGCATTAGTTGCTGTTTGTTTTATAGCATTGTGAATAAAAAGTGCATGATAGCGATCCCACAGTCTCAGCCCCAAATCATTTCTGTACACAACGCTACCTCTTCCTTCTCTATTATTCATGACATGCGTTCAATTTGCAACCTAATAATATCCTACTAATAATGCTTATAATCAGTTCAAGCATTAAAGTGCTGCTCACTTTCTCCACGTGGGTCCTGAAGATGCAAGAAGACAATCACCAAACTGTCAAAGCGTTACCTGCCAGTTTGGATGACTTCATGTTGATGACTCTTGGTTTGTTTGTAAAAATGTCAGAGTGAATATGGGGGTTGAGCGAGAACTCAGTAACGAAGAGTATCAGGAACAGATAATATATTTTTACAAGTATCATCAGAGTAAAATGTATCAATATCTGTTTCTAATAAACTATAAATATATGAACCTTTTTTTTTTTATCCAACTGTTCATCTGGTCACAGCAATCTTTTGTATCTAATTTTATCTACAGTATACACCCTTACTGAGGTAATGGATTGTATATTTAGTTTTTCTTAATTTTATTGATTACTTCTTGAGTGTTTCCTAGTACCCTCTGCTTAATGAACAGGGAAGGAGGACAGGAGCTAGCTGCCTAAACTGCGTCTGTGTGGCTCTATCCGTGCACAGTCACATGACACCCGGAGCGCGACAGTGCGGTGGCGCATGTTTGATTCTATTTGGCCAAATTAATTCCCCGATATGCTTCCAATAATGAGATATGCTCTATCAGTCGATACATATCGGATCGATGATTATTGTGCATCCCTATAAGATACAGCCTGAAAGGTGGAGCTGGGGTGGTGGTGGGTTATGAGCTTTTGCATGGGAAGCAGCGAAGACAGGCAGGTAGGCTATGGCAGCTTAAATAGGTGCCTTGTCTAGATTTGCCAATGAATGCTAAAACAGGAATCAGCTGAGCTGTCAGCTGATGTGCTGCTGAAGAAGGCTGCTATCGCTGATATGCTGGAATCAGCGGAGCTGGACTTCGTTGTCTCTCTGAACTAAAGCTGATGATACACGGGGCAACTTTTTGAGCAATGTTGCTAGTGGCAAGTCTGACTATGTTTTGAACGGATAGTGGCGGTGCGGGGCGGGTGGCGGAGTGGTGGGGGAAGGGGATTACGGTAATAATCTTTACTCATCACCACTGACGGCAACGTTGCCCTGCACGATTGCTCTAAAAGTTGCTCTGTGTATCATCAGTTTAACACTATGCTTGATTTGTGTCATTCAAGCCATACGCAACACTTTATACAGAGAGCCAGTCAGTCTGTCTCTAATGAAACAAAATGAAGATAATCTCGACCTTGGGTTAACAAACAAATGGATAGCAGTACATCCTTATAAAGGAAGCTGCGTCAGTCAGTTGACCAAACAGTCACAGAGTGAGTGACAGAATCTGAGCTGACCTATTGATTTGTCCCTTGCTGCCACCTTTGTCTTAGCTTTAGCTCAGCAATTGATTCTATCATGACCTGAGGTAACCTGTGTCATTGTACCTCTAAATTCCTTCACAGAAACAAATAGTGATGGTATCTACAGGGTGGTGATGGCGCAATCGATAAGACATGTGCCTTTGGTGTGAGAGACCCAGGTTCAATTCCCCACTGTGACCCATCTACCATTGTGTCCCTGAGTAAGACACTTAACCCCTAGTTGCTCCAGAGGCGTGCGACTTCTGACATGTATAGAAATTGTAAGTCGACAACATAAACTGAAAAGATATAAACTGAAATGATAAATCCCAGAACAGCATGGTACATGTCCTTCTGTTGGACTCTACAGGTGAAGGTGTTGCTGTGTCTCTTCTCCACAGTCACTCTGCTGCTGACAGTATAGAGGTCATCAGGACCTCTGACTGTCTCTGTAGGTCCAGCAGAGAGGAGGTTTCCCTCACCGTCCAGCCAGACTCAAAGTTTATTTACTCTTTATATAAATGACCTGAAACGTGCTTCTAAATCAGCAGATTGTGTTATAAAGTCAACAATACCAGTATTAGAGAGTAGATCCAGTAACTCTCAGTGAAAGAAACAGCAGGTGCTGGACAGACAGGTGGTCGTCCGCTGTCTCTGTCCATGGTGCTGAACTCACCCAGAAAATTACTCTGACCCATCTGATCCCTTCAGCTTTAAATGATCTTATTAGCTAGTTATACGTAGTATTTACTCAGATAACCATCACTGTAAAAAGCACCAGAGGTGGAACAAGTATTCAGATCCTTTAATGAAGTAAATGTACTAATACCACAGTGTGAAAATACTCCACTACAAGTAAAGGTCCTGCACTGAAAACAAACCCTCAATGCTACACAGATATAACCCATTTAAATAATGATTCCCAAATAAATAGACTGGCTTATTGAACTACAGTATTTGTTTACATATTTACACACATACAATCTATGGTGGAAGAAGTATGAAAGTAAAGTACTAAAAGCACACTGAAAATGCATTTAAATCCTTATTTAAGTAAACGTATTATCAGCAAAATTTACTTGTTTCAGTTGCAACTGAATTCAATTTCATGAAAATAATTCAAGTTTATTGGAATTCATTTTCAAAGTAATAAATTAAATTTCAAGTGATGCTATCCAAATTCAGTTTTTTCAATGCAGTTATTCAAGTTGAGCAATTCAAATTCAGACCTAAATTATTCAAATTCAGATTCTACTGAATCTACAAATATAAGCCCATCGGTCTGCTCCAAAAACTGTTGAGCAGCTAACGACTGACAGTCCAATATGATCACAAAAACCTTTGTAATAGCCTATTGTTACGACCCGTGGACCGTTTATGTGTACAGTATATGGGGTGTTTGTGTGTTTGCCTCTCTGCCCTAAGCAGGACCTTGCCCCGCCTCCAATGCTGCAGCCAGCAGGCTGAGGAGCACGGCTTGCCATAACATAGGCGGTTGCCTACGGCGCAAAATGTCAGGGGGCGCCGCTAGAGAAGGTTTTCGACTTGCCGCAATTGACCTCGGCCCAGCTAATTAAATGCACTTCGCTGCTCCCGTTGTGAGTCCAGACAGTTGTGACGAGTCGTGTCGTTTAGTAGAGTTTCTAAAGGCTGAGGCGCAGCCTTGTTCTGTTTGGGACTGTGAGCTGCTTAAGTTGACGTGTGTGAATTTGTGGTGTGTTTTCCAGTTGGTTTCGGTTTCACATGCAACATGCAGACTGTGCACTTTGTCGGTCAAACGGACTAAAGGGGATCATTCCAGCGGAGAAATAAGTAATGCACAGCAGAAATATCTTATGAATTCTCATTAAATGATGATGTTAGTCTCTTAGTATTACGTCTTTCTTTCCGACATGTCAGAGAACACAGATGTGGGAGAGATTCTGAATGTGCAGAAAGTTTTGAATATGAGCAGAAAACCTACTAAAACACAGGATTTATTAAAGTCCAAGAGTTTTTAACTTTAATTAAAATTAACTTAGTTGAGGTGAAAAGGTGCCACATGCACACCCCCATGCAAAAGACACAAAAGAGAAGGGAAGACTGAATCATGCCTGCATGTGTGCTGACTGCAGGGATTTTATTAAATTAGAGAAGTTGATCAACAGGAGAAATATTGGTTATTTAAAAGCAATAGCTACAGAATATCTGAGAGCTCACTGCATTATATTCTATTCATTTTTTTTATTTTGAATTGTCACCTGCTGCCTGAATTTTGTGTTCCCCTTTACATAAATGAAGATTTTCCACCATAAATTGAGGCAGAAATGTCACCAGAATGCAGGAAATGAAGTCCTCAATGGTTAAATTTTTCTAGGGGAGGACCCCCAGACCCTCCTCTTCAGTTGAGTCATCTCCATTATTGAAACTAAACCAATGGTCTTGCATTTCAAGAAACCTACCACATACTGCAAGAAAACAGTCTCTGGGTTGACTCACAGTCTCTGGAGTTTGGTCTCCTAATTTAGGCTATGATGTTGAGGTTGACAAGTATGCTGATCAAACTTATTCATTATTGACCATGATTACTGACTTGGCTTTTCATCTATACATGCTAAATTTGTGAGTTTGGCTGCTGAACGTTTAAAACTTTCTTTAGGATAGGGGAGCAATGGCCCAAACCCATTATGTTGACTTTTTAGGGTTTTGCCATCACTACTTTTGCATTTGTTTATCCAGTACCTTAGTCCCTTTAAAAAGGATCCTTGTTTCTCACTTCCCTTTTGGGAGTTGTTTTCTGTTTATTGTGCATTTAGAGACACTTTTTGTTAATTATTGTAAATAAATTACCCCTTTTCTTTGCAAACTTACTCCTGTTTCCTTGTTTTCTTCTGCCCTGGAACAATTATTAATTGTACTAACCTCCTCCCCCGGGCTTCCATCTGAGGTTCGTAACACCTATCTAAATAAATATGAGTTGTTTTTTCACTTATTATATCATAATTGACTCTTTACAGTCTCTTTATATATCTATACTCTATAGCTGGACCAAGAAAAAAGGACCTGCAAAGAACTTGAAAAGACAAAGGACATGGGACAAAAGAGACACATACCTTGGCTCTTTTAGTTTATGTGCTGTATTTTGTTAACAATGTTTTATAATGGAATGAGTCCCCTTTACATTTTCTATAATGTAATTTATCCCTTTGTATACTTTCTATAAAAAGTATTACAGTAGTGTTTAAATACGACTGCAGATGAAAAGTAGCCTTTCTGGTTCACTGGCATATTTTCAATAAGTACTGTCCCTGTCAAATAAAGTAAGACAATAATCCAATCTAAACCTCTTTTTAAATGGTCAATAAAGATTAAATTAATTAACAGTTTTTCATTATTTCGCTCTCTTATCCAGAAAATCCTTCATCTAGTAGAAGAACAGCAACATAGTGGAGTTGGTAGAAAAAGTAAATACAGTAAAGAAGCTAATAATATCCTTCAATCTAACAAATGATAACCAAAGTTTTTACCTCCACATTCACAAGAAAACAGCATCTAAACAAGTGTAATGTGCTTTAATATGTGCCGTCCCTCAACTCCTTGATGTTTGCAAGCAAGGTGAACGATTGTGTAATTGGGCCAGCAGGTGCCAACAGGAAGTAGAGTTGTTTGTCTGGGAAAACCCTGAAAACAGAGAGATTCAGGTGAAGGTGAGATGAGTTCTCTAATGTCCTAAAAAAATAAATAAGAAGATCTAATTACATGGCTTGTTAAATATTTTAATATTACTACTAATAATTATATATTAGTTACTAATATTAATTACTGATACTGACCTTGTACATCTATTATAGTACCACTACCATAACTACTACTGCTACTGCCACTACTACGACTAGGCCCCCACTACTTTTTCTACGACTGCTGCAGCCATTTTCTGTTTCGATAGTTTTTATTCTTTATATTGCATAATAAGTTCAACAGATCAAAGTGCTCCTATACACCGTTGTTCTTCCAAATTGATTAGGATCCCCCCCCACACACACACACAAACACACACCCTACAACGCAACCACCATTAACCACAAACGCAAACAAGCAAACAAGCAAAGCATAAAAAAAAACAGGGCAGACCCGGAAGAGTCTAAGATTCGATGCTTCGATGGGTGGAGCCTGATTCATGCCGTTTCGGTGATATGGGGGTTCTGAACGTCTGATTTTACATAGAACTACCAGTTTTCTCCCAATAAGTTCATTTTCAGCCTATGACAATATACATTTCAACATTTAATGCTGTATATAAACATGTAGAAAGAATAAAACTTTCTTTGATTTGTTCTTCTTTTTTTTTTATTAGATGATGCCGCACGTAACAGGTGATATACATAACAGACACAATAATACTTGGTGAAAATACACAAAAACAGAAACGAGAAACAACTGTGCACAGACAAGGCAATTAGTGTATGGGTGTATGTGTGTTTGTGTGTGTGTATGTTCAAGAGGTAGAAAAATGGAGGTGGCGTGGGGGAACCTGAGTTGGGAAGTATAGAGATTAAATGCTTTGAACTGCCGTAAAAAAAAAGGAGAAAAAAAGAAGGAAAAAAAAACTACATGAAGGATAATTATATTAAAAATAACATTTAATTGAATATAACGTCTCTTTCTGCCTCCCTTCTCCTCCCTCCTTCGTCCCCTTGAGTTTACTTTCTATTGTGATAGTTATTGTAACAGCTCTTGTGAGAAGGATCAGGGTCCAGCCTGGACAGCTCATCCTCTAGTGAGGATTTCCATTTGCTAAAATGGAAAAGTCCAGTTTACTTTGTCGAAAGCTTTTCCGGCATCTAATGATATGATTATGGTTTTGTCTTGTCTTTGCTGTGATATATCGATTATGTTAAAAAGTCTACGGAGGTTATCTGAAGCGTTCCTGCTTTTAATGAAGCATGTCTGATATGGGTGGATTAGTTTTGGCGTAACTGCCTCTATTCTTGTTGCAAGGGATTTTGTAATAATTTTTAGATCAGTATTAATAGATAGCTAGAGGGGTGAGTTGGATCTTTGTTAGGTTTTAATAAAAGTGTTATGACAGCAGTATTCATATGTTTGGGTATGGTCGAAGTATCTTTCATTTCCGTTGTCACGCTATAAAATAGTGGTGATAGAATATCCCAGAAGTGTTTATAGAATTCGGCTGGCAGTCCATCTGGTCCAGGTTATTTAGTGTTTGGCATTTTATTTAAGGCTGTATAGAGTTCTTCAGGAGTAAGTGGTGTGTCTAAAAGGTTGGCTTGTTCTCTAGGTAGTGTAGGTAGGTCCAGATTGTCTAAGAAGTTGTCTATTTCTGATTGGTTAGGTTCATGCTTTGAGGAATAATGATTGTTATAAAAGTTATGAAAGATATTGTTTATGTCCTGCGGATTGTGGGTTATAGTACCTGTTTCAATGGGTATGGATGGAATAACTGCTTTCTCTTTTTTGCGTTGTAATTGGTTTGCTAGATATTTATTTGCTTTATTACTATACTGAAATTTTTCATTTTTAAGTTGTTGGAGTTTAAGGTTTAAGTTGGCTCAATTCATTTTGTGTTCCTTCAGTGCTAGCGGTATCTGTATACTGGTTTGTTAGCTGTTTAATTTTAAGGTATTTTCCAATTCTTGTTCTTGTTTTTTCTTGTATGATGAATATGATATGATTTTACCTCTTAATACTGCTTTAGCTGTTTCTCATAAGATTGAGGGTGAGATATCTGGAGAGTCGTTTATCTATTTACCAAGAATAAAACTTTAAATAAATGTCTTGTGTGTGTGAATAAATCCAAAATTGTAACCCTAACCCTGGGTCGTCAGTGCGCATGTGTAGGCGTAGCGTGTATGTGTGTAGTGGCAGTGGAGAGACACTTGCCGAAGAGACGGAGCTTTCACTTCACTGTTGATGTACCGAGTTGTCCGCACCTCGCGGGACGTTCCGATGATTTCTCACCATTGATGAACCACACAAAGAATATTTTATCGTTTTTAAATAGCCGGCTACTTGAAATAGACCTGCGAGGAACCGTGACGTGCATGCAGTTGTCAGCAGCATGGCATGCACACAAAACTCTGCACAAGACCGGTGAACGGCAGGCGAGAGAGAGAGAGAGAGAGAGTAGTATGTATGATGCTTTGGCAATATTGTTGTTACACATTCATGCCAATAAAGATAATTTGAATTTGAATTTGAGAGAGAGAGAGAGAGAGATGCATGCACAAAAACACACATTCGACTATTGGCAGGACTTGGCGATTCTGATTCGACTGTGTAAATCCTTAGTCAGGGACAGCCCTACAAAAAACATGAACACTCCCTCAGGGAAAGCAGCTTAGTATGTTATAAAATCAGTAGTCAGTAGTAGTCATTAAAGAGGTGGTATTATGCTCATTTTCAGGTTCAAAATCTTATTTAGGGGTTGTACCAGAACAGGTTTACATGGTTTAATTTTCAACAAACACCATATTTTTTCTCATACTGCACATTACTGTAGCTCCTCTTTTCACCCTGTGTTGAAGGCTTCGTTTTAGCTGTGGAGTGATACATCTTGTCTCTAAATGATCTTTGTTGGGAGTTCCACATGCGCAGTTCCTAGTTAAGGACTACTAGCCAATCAGAAGCAGAGAAAGGCGGGTCAGTGAAAAGACGGTAAACAGCTTTGATTCAGCTGTAGGCTACATGTTGCAGACCAGGTTGGCAATTTGTAAAGAAAGTAAAGGCTGGACTACAAACGAGCTGTTCAGGGCAGTGTTTTCTGTGGGAGATGGGAACTCCCTTTGGGGTGGACTTTGGGCCTTTTCACTTTGCAAACCTAGTACATGCACAAAAAAGATTTATAACTCAATAAAGAAGAGGGAAAAAGCTAAAAACCATAATACCACCTCTTTAAGACTGATTTAAATTCTGAATTAATATATTCACGTTCTTCTGAAGTTTAATTTGGGAACCATCCTTTTTTAATCATAGATGTACTTCTACTTTAGTTATCACTGCAACAACCACTACTTCCATTTCTACTCTTCACAACTGTATTTGGAATTTACAAAAACTTGTGCTACTTCTTAAACTGTACTATTACCATTTTTAGGGGTCCAAGCCCGAGTGGGCTGGGAACCCTATTGTTTTCGCTCGGATTTTTATTTTTTATTTTTTTCTTCTGCCGCTAATTCCATTACTGCAGCCTAGATGGTAACTGCTAGGGACGCGAAACCTATAGGGTAGGTTCAAGCGCCTGCAAGTAACTCAGGCGCAAAAATCCGCACACTTCTACCTCTAGGGGGCGCTATAATTGAAGCTCAAATACGGTCAGACAACCCCATTCATTTCAATGGGATTTTCAACCAAAGGACATTTTGTCTCATAACTACACGCCACTACATCGCACATTCATAAACCTTATGTCTACGTGTTTGGGGGATGCTGCCGATTCCTATGGCTCAGTGCGATGACATTTTCATTGCGCTAAATCGCGAAAACTGGAAAACCTATTTTAATTAACTCCTCCAAAGCCGTAAGTCCACAAACCGGTACGGACCATCTCTGGACCAAGCTGAAGAAAGTTTGTAGAGGGAATTTTGATCCGCCAAAAAACATCCCAATTACAAGCTAACAAATATTTGCGCAAACGCTAAAAACTGGATGTCATGTCAGATCTTATGTTTGCAATGTCCAATCTACACCAAACTCGGGGACCTTATCTGGCACGCCCTCCCGAGGGGCTGTGTGAAATTTGGCATCAATCGGCCTCTTTGTGGCCCTATTCATTGGAAATCAAATAACACCTCCCATAGATATACATTAATTTCAGATCTCCATAAACACAAGCCCCTTTGATTTATAACTCTGCTCATTTATTCTCCATGGGCCCCCCAAGCCACAGCGGGGAACCCGGGCCAACTCGCGCACGGGAGGCTTGGACCCCGCTTATAACTGCTTGCAGTTCTAGTTATTATTATTACTGTTACAACCTCTACTACATATCCAGTAATCTCATACACTATTAGTTGGATTGTAAAAATAATGAAATAATAAAATGAAAAAGGAAAATGTAATTTAAGATGTAGTGACTCACCTTCACCAGGGGACACACCCTGCTCCTCTTCATAATTTTTCATCCTCTATATCACAGTCTCTGCAGCAGAAACACACATGTTAAAGAACCACACTGATAGGGCTGAACAATTAATACAAATTTGCAATTGCCATATAAATTTCCCCAGTATTGCAAATCATTTCGCAATTACAATATCAGTCAAAATAATTGCAATTTTTTCAAAATTGTTCAGCTCTATTGACTAATAGACTGATACATCAGCCCGTTCTCATTCCCAGAGCATCAAATACCAACGCATTGTCACGTCTCTTGGCGTCTGGTACCAACGCACATGGCACCCTTTTTGCATCATATTTCAATAAGGAGGTGATTGAAGTGGACGGGTGGGTCAGAAACCAGACTTTCAGAAGGCCGGTGTTTGTTTCCTCACGTGAAACAAAGTCAATGTTTAGTTCTTTTAGTGTAGTTACATAAGTAAGTTACGTACGTTAAGTACATAGCGTTATTGAACTTAATTTAAGTCATGTAGTTATTTTAAGCCAAACCATGATCTTTTCCATACTTTGGTGAATAAACCTAAACAAAGTGCAATGTTTTTCCAATGTTGCAGTTTTATTTTGAAAGTCTAACCTTGCATAGTTATTCTCGCTAATTTGACCGCAGAGCCCTACAAGTACAAACCAGCGCTAAAGGGTCTTGACATAGCGTCTATATGTGGTGCCCTGATATGAGAACAGGTTGAATGCATCCTCAGATTCATATGTTCTTACACAGCCTTGTAGAAATTCTTCTGGTTCACCATGTGGTCGTGGAAGATGTTTATGGCTTTAAACACGTCTATCTGGTCCTGGTATTCCTCTAACACCTTTCTGTATCTGTCACACACACAGCAAAAATGATCAATTAGGCCAACATAAAACTGCTTAATTAAAATTAATTAAATTTAATTAATTAAAATTAATTGGTAAGGAAGTCAGAATTGAGTTAATGAATTTAATGTTTTATTTTTATTTTTTTAAATTAAACAATTATGAGAAGTGCCATATTTATTACTTGAGCCCTGCCCCCTCAAAATGTCTGTGCACGTCTGTGTACCTGCGGATCCAGGCGACCTCCTTCAGACTCTCTACACTCCACTGCTGGTAGATGCTGCAGGCCTTATCCTCAGACCCAGACACCAGCTTGGAACCAGGCTTGAGCTCAGCCAAAAAGTCCCGGAGGCAGGCCCGGGCCGACAGAGCCACCAGCCAATAGATCGGCTCCTCCAAAACCACAGAGTGGAAAGACTGCAGGGCGAAGTGGAGCCACTGTGGGGGAGGCGAAGTGAGGGGGCTCTGGAGGAGGAGACAATCAAAAACTGAATTACATTTTCTTCATACTCTGCCATTTTCATATATTTAGTATATAACTTTATATTTATATAGGTGTATGTTTATTGTTGGTGCACACCTAGTCGCCAAAAAAAATTCCTTGTATGTGTAAAACTACTTGGTAATAAAGATGTTTCTGATTCTGATTTATTCTGATCGTGGTTCTTACATGAGGCATTTTTATTCTGATCAGGCGCTGTTCTCCTTATAAGAGACCAAAAATGCTCTTTGTAAACACAGCTGCTTGTCTGTCTCACCTGGTTTCTGCTGCGGTAGTGTTGAAGTGTGTCCTGCAGCAGTGATCTTGTGTTCTCATCTGCTTCCTGTAAATTACACATCAGGGTCTGCAGGAACAAAAACATGACGCTTATATCTAAACCCTGTCACACCAGTTCAACTCAGACTGGGAATTAAAATCACATTTACGGAATGGGTGTTCCACTGTAGTGTTGTCCTGCACTATTACATTGCATTATTGTATATTATGTCAGTAACTGCGACTAAGACTGGTTGAGAAGCTTTCTAAATTGAATGTTACGAAGCAAACATCGGTAGATCTGTGTGAACGTAGCTGGCTGCCCCTGCCTTGCATAATCATAGACTAGTATAACAAACCGCTCCACATTTTACATTTTATTTGTCCCGTTACATCCTTTCTTGCAGGCTAAATCAACACATTGACATAATACCGGCGGTCCACAGGATAGTAACATGGGTCGCGTTAGCTGGTGAAGTAATGTGGAAAGATATACAACTATAGTATTTGGCACCGGATAACTTTAGCAACTGGTCGTCATTAACTGGAAAGCTAACATTATCCAACCTGAGCCAACAAAATCTCAATATCACAATATATTTTACATGTTTTGCAGTGATGTTAGTTCACCTCCCCAATAGGATGAAAGCCAACTCTGGGTCGGTTTATATATCCAAAACAAAGCGGAGGTCCCTCCGTGACTCAAATGCCTTTTTGATGATTTTCGTTTGGCCTGACGGGCTTCAGCCCATAAATCATTTTTGTTGTACGATGCAAGAGAGAGAGTGTCAGCTGAAGTGTAAAGTTTAGAGTTGTTGCATAAAATCGCGGAAATTTACAGACGGTATCAAAAGAGGCTAATAACAGAGGAGGGAAACGAGAAAAAACACTGCTGAGGAGAGCTGAAAAACATGATGAGGGACTGATGAGAGAGTTGACGAGCATCAGAGGATCAGAGTTTAGTTTAGTTTAGTTTAGTGAAGAAAGAAAGGCAGATAGATGAACAGGTAGAAAGATGTGACAGAGAAAAAAGACAAACTGGGCATAATCAAAAACCTCTGACCTCCAGTGTGCTGCTGACTCTGTGCAGATAGAGCGCCTCCTGCTGGATGAAGTTGTTGTAGCAGCGCTGAGTCAGCTGACCAGAACGGAGCTCCTTGAGAAAGTAGGACAAGTGGCGAATCTCCTCTGCCAACAAGTAGCTGTTACCCCACAAAACATCAAACAGACTCAGACCGTGCATGATTCCTGAGACAGAGGGGGAAAAAATCTAAATGTTATTGCTATGTGATGTTTAATAGTCCTGCGTTATATTAAGAAGTGTTTCCAGTGTTTAGTCTGTTGTGCAGCCAGTAACTGGTAAAAGTTCCCAGATGGAAAGATCTATAAAAAGGCAGCAAATGGACTTGGAGTTGTGATTTTTTTTGTCAAACTTTTGTTTCCAAAGTCAGACATGGCTCAACAGTAATTTCTTTGCCATACGTACTGGGATACTACAGCAACCAGTTAACTGTTACCTGGTTTCCTGTCGCTGGGGACGACTTTAGAAGAGGAGCTGGAGATAAACAGAGGAGATTACAAACAAGCACTTAATGTTTGAGTTAATACACAATGACAGTGTTATTCACGAACATATTCAGACACACGTTGTCAATTATCACACATCAGGACTTTGCTTTTTATTTTCATACATTTGCAGTCTAAAATTTTCACAGGAAGCTGATCTGGAGTGAGCAGGTGCCACTGCTCCAGATCTGTTATCCACAGCATCTAATAAAACATGTTGGATTTACCTGAAAGGTTGTCCCTGCTGGAATTCTTTAACTGAAACAAACCCTTTTAAGCATGCAGCGATTAAGAATTTAACAAGGGCTTTTACACATCCCCACATAAACATGTCGCACATCACTGCACAAACTGTCATTTAAATCACATACTGTACATATTCTTTATTCTTTTTTATACTGTTTTTAAATATTTTATTGTCAGTTTTATAATTTTTGTGTGATTCTTGACTTTGTTGTTATGCACCAAAATACCAATGCACATTCCTTGTATGTGTAAACCTACTTGGCAGTAAAGCTGATTTTTAATCTGATACTCCACAGATTTTGTGTCCCTTAAAGTAAATTACCAACATTGTTTTCAGACTTTAGCCTACGCGTCTTTGGTGGAGCAGATGTAGAACCTGAGCTCTCCACAGGGGGCGCTGTGCAGCTTTCCACCTGAAACACAAAACACACACAAGGATTTAGTTTAAGTTGTTAAATTTTAAAGAAAAAAGAATAAGGAAGTGTTGTGCAATTCAAACAGCAAATCGTATGGCATTATTTGATTTCATTTTAAAGTAATAAATCCATTTATAAAGTACATTGATCCATTCATTCCTTCTTTTTTCATTTACTTTTTGGTTCCATTTCCATGCAAGCCCCTCCCTCGCTGGTATTTCCCTGCCACTGATTGGTCCAATCACTCATCCTGAAGGGGGAGTCGTCGCTCCAAAACCAGTTCTATAGATGACAAAAACAAAGAGGCAGCTGTCATTTTGGGCTCTGGGTAATTGTTATAGTATTTCTCACTATTATTAAAATGTTTACAAACCAAACAAACAATCAGTAGATCAATGGAGAAAATAATCAGCAGATTTATCCATAATGAAACAAAATCATTTGTTGCAGTCAGATACAACATAACATTTTCAATGTATGACGTTTACTTGGAACAGAGTATGTTTAATGTGGTATTAGAAAAGTTGCTTAAGGATCTGAGTGCTTTCTCCTCCACTGGAGGGGTGTTTGTTTAAATAAAGTCCTGATATAAGAACAAGAGCACAGCACGCTGACACAGACACCATACCTGCTGTTCCTGGTATCCACCCAGCCACACAGGTGTGTGTGTGTTTGCTAGCAGACGGACAAACTGCCTCTCCTCTGGTGTGTGAAGCGACGCCAGTTTACCAGCTGCCTGAGAGCACAATAACTAACACACACACACACACACACACACACACACACACACACACACACACACACACACACACATTAAACCACACTGAAGCCATGTAATACTGAGTTTTCTGTGTTATAAATTTAAATGTGTTTTATCTTCCGTTTACATTGGCATCGCTCCAGGAGCTCCACACAGGGTAGAAAGCGAAGCATCTCTGCCCAAACAGGAGCCACCGAGGTGGGCATGAAAAGACCTGTTCAGTACCTGCTGACACTTTATTTAATTAGTTAGTTTGAAAAAGCAATTTGAATGGCATATATATTTTTTCATCTTAATGAACAAGCCCACTGTGGAGACGACAAACGTCATCATCATTATAATTTGACTGACAGGAATCTCCATCTTACTGTTTTTTTCACCTGAAGATGACAGTAAAGCAGACGTCTCAGTCAGAAGGACAGTCAAGACGAGAGGAATTAACACACACACCATCATTTACCTGTAACACACATATATACAAATATTAAATTATAACACAGACACATTTATTCTTTGGTGTTTTATGATTCCTGTGTTTTTAATGTTTAGGGCCCGACCACAAAACATGCGAGGTCCCTTTTGGAACTGAAGGATTCAACTCATTGATTAATCTTTGAGTTTTCGGTTAACAGCGTGGCGATTGCGAAGTTAAATGCTTCGCCATGACACAGGAAGTTGTTGTAAATATACTGTACATGCTCAGATCTGTTCCAACTTCTACAGGTTTGATAAGAGTCCCACCCTGAAAACGTGTACATGCCAATATCCACCCACCCAGCGCCATCAGGGTGTCTCATACAGACCCACCCGGGGTGTCTCACATCGATGCTGAGGGGTACCTTTGGTGTCAAATACCTATGCTTTGTCACTTTTTCTGAAATGCGTTGGTATTTATCTATTTCAAAACTATCTCAGAAAGCCAAAGATTTAATTAAAATTTTCACGATGTCTTCCACACTTGAGGTATTGGGACATAAAGTATAGTTTGACTGTAGTGCCACATAGGGGACACAGGAAGTAACATTTAAGTCCTTCTTGCAGTGTCTGCAGCACGTGACAATTTAGAACCGTATTGGCAGACCAGCTGTGTCATGTGCGAGAGCCCGTCTTACGCTGCTTGCAGCTTTAATTAGGGGTCCAAGCCTGAGAAGGGCAAGGGAACACACGAATACAAGGCATTGCGGTTCCCAGGCCCAGCAGGGCTGGGAACCCTATTGTAATAGTTACAGTTTTTATTTTTATTCTTCCATACGTAAAAGTCATACTGTGGCCTAGAAGGTAAGTGCCACAGACGAGAAACTCATAGGGTAGGTCCAAAACCACTGCACGTACCTCAAGTGCAAAAATCTGCACACATCTACCTCTAGGGGGCGCTATAAGCAATGCTATCGTATTTGGGCTTGGAACTCACGCATACGAGGGCGAATATAAAAAACCTTATATCGTGCGTTCGTGGGATGGAGTTGGATCTCATGGTATATGCCATGCACATTTCTGTGTAATTTTTATTTGCAAAATTGCGAAAAAGTGCAGCTAGCTAACCTGAGCAACACTTCACTGGCTAAGTCACCATAAGGTTAACGTTACTCCCTGTCAGTTTGCCGACATTTACTTTAAATGTCAAGTTGTAAGTGTACGATGATTCGTTGGCATTCAAAGTTTATCTTCAGTTATTAGACGCTCTAATAACCGAGCTCTTTGTGTTGAATCAGTGCCTCTGAACAGCTAAAACTGAATATTTTAACCTTCATGAAGGTAGGATTATTGCAGGACTGCATTAGTTTTAGCTCGGTGTACCTAATAAACTGGCAGCTGGATCTGCTTATAGGCCTCGTAGAATCGTGCCAAACTTATATCCGTATATTTATGAGTAAGTTAGTGGAGTGCAAATACCATGTCCAGCCAACAATAACCAGGACAAACACATTGATGCAAATATGAATATAGTGACATGAGACATACAAATAATTTGAGCTACAGAGGCATTTACACATTCTTTGAGCTGCTGGTCTTACTGTGTTGAATGCTCTTAGTGGCCTTAATAGGTGCACCTTTACAATGTAATGCAGTTCAATACAACAGCTGTGCCATTATTTAATTAAATTTACACATATGAGCATAAATGTGTAAATTTAATTAAATGTTTAATACTCAGGTTAAAATTAAAGGGTGTTTTACTGAACTACATTGTTTTGAATATGAGGATTTTTTTTCTCCTCCCTATTTACATAATGTACATTACAGGGCTAGAATATCACAAACTCCTCTAAATATAATGCAGCCGAGTACAACACCAACATCACCAAGTATGACCTCAGTGATAAAACATGTAAGTGAATTAACTCTTCTATGTATGTCTGTGTAAATAAATCCTGAACAGTACAGGCATCATAGAAGCAGAATTCATGGCTGAGCTGGTGTATTTATTACATTAGATTGTACAGGTGTACCTAATAAAGTGACCACTGCAGACACAAGTCAAGGTTTTCCCTGTTGCTCCTCTGGGATGTATGGTTGAGTGTGGTCACCCCATATACTGTATGGGTCACTGTAACCACTGGGCTTGCCTGCCACCTACAACAAATCTCAAAAAACAGTGATGACCAACAACCAATCCTCTTCTGGTATTTAATATTTGGTTCAAATAATTTGCAACAAAGTACTAAATATGACCATTTTATTAAGGTGTAAAGGAACTTGTCTTACAACTTTTAATCCACTGAAATACCATGAAAAAAAAGTTTATAGTCACTTAATATCAAATTCTTTACTGGGGCACAGAACCAAATAACCGAAATCATGCCAATGTCCAGATACAACTGGACCTAACTGTGCACTCTCACTCCTGTAAGCTCAACCTCATGAATTTATTTGGGAAACATTGGCTTTCCATGTATATTATAATTATAATTTATACTATAATATTAAAATCAATGTCTTAAATGTATTAACCTTGTATTAACATTGTTTCATTTTTCTTCTCCCTGTTCTTTCCAGCAGCACCAGGCTGTGTCTCCTCAAGATCTGGTCTCATCTGGGGCCTATGACCTGGTCTGCTTCTGACAGTGGAATGTCCTCAACAAAAACAACCTCACTGACCCTCTCCCTGTAGATAATATATAATAAAGTGTTTTGTTGAATGCAATTGGTTGCCTTATATATTTTGCACTATTGACCAAACTTCTCTCTTGACTTAAACTGAGCAGCTTCAGTTATTTATTGATATTCACTTGTTGGGATGTTTATGTGAGTGTGTCTTAACACAACATTACATAGGACATGTGAAATACAGTAGACTAATTAAATATATTCTGCATATGCAGCACATTCTATGCATGTATTTGTGTGTTCCGAGGTATACAACAAACAAACGAGAAAACCACCTTTTTTTCGTTTGTCGTTTCAAACCAAAAACGAAGAAACGGGGGGAAAGGAGCCGTTCTCCCGTTTTTGGTTTCTGAATCCAAAAACGAAAAACAACTAAACCAAATTCAAATAATGTTTTTTTGAAATTCCTATTTTCATTTTCCGTTTGAAGATAGACGTTAAGAAAAGAAAGACCGGTGAGCCAGGTGACCCCGAAGTAATAGTATAGATATTAAAATAAAAGCCAAGCTTTTAGAACGGCTGGATCTGTAGCATTATGCAGCACTGAGGTGATGTTAGATGAAAATAAATAAATAAATAAACCTGGACCGAGAGAAATACGTTAGCAACAGTAGCTGATTACATGCACTATAATATTGTGCATGTTTGGTGCAATACAGTTGGTAGGCTAATATAGGTTAACTTAAGAAATGATTGTGTGTGCAGAGTTGTTACTGTAAGCGCTATATTTTCAATATTAAATTGATATTTAATGTGGTTTCCACCGTAATGAACAAAGCTGTTCCCCCTTTCTACCAGCAGGTGACAGGATTTAAATAAAGGCCTGTACTGTGTATTAAATGTTTTGAATCCAGGTTACTGACACAGATGTATTTATTGTTGTTCATTTCATTTGGTTTTTGATATTTATGTTTCATAGGCAGCCTAGTTATCATCTTCATCATTCACTCTCGGCCCAGAGTTAAACCTGCGCGCCCTTCTGCTCTAACCTGGTTCTAACACTGCTGTCAGTTTCTAGCAGCTCTGACAACAAACTCACATCAGAAATGTCCTGTGTGTCATGCAAGTGAAGAGAATCCATACAACAGTTATTCAACATATATAGCACATACATACTTTCAAAGGCATTGAATGTACAATCTATGGCTGCAGAACATTGACTGTGAAGCCATGAGGTAAGAACATTTTATGAGGTCCACAAAAGAAAGTCCAAAAATTTAATTACATTATTAAAATGGCTGTCAGCGCTGAGAATTTCTTCTCAGGACGTCAGTCAGGCCACATTTAAAATCTTCTGGCTTTATTATTTGTTTGCTTCACCTGTTCACCTGTGTTTTCTTTGGGCTTTCTCTCACTTTCTGTTGACCGCACTCGCGCACTCGCAATCACGCACTTTCGCACTCACACAGCAATTTTTATGACTTGGTAACTGCAGTGCCAGTAGTATTTTTTTATGTGTTGAAGTGTAAATAAATGCTTGAACTTAGATCGTTGAGTGGAATTTAGTTTTTGCGCGTCACAGTGTTTTCAATCTCTCAGTGTTTAGTCCCTCGCGGCTGCAAATTTTGTTTTGCGTTGTTTACAGCCGCTATGTTTAGTCAACAGAAATTTATTAAACCAGAGTGTTGTTCTACGTAAACGAGCTGTTTATCATGGATTCCGCGGATCACAACGGAACGCTTTGGATATCAGAGGAAACACGGAAATGTTTGGAGCTCCGCTGTATTGGATGGCGGTTCATTCATTACCGCTCGGAGGATAAAGACCCGGCCCGGTTATGTACACTCACATGCCAGTGCGGCAGAGATGAAAAATGGCGAAGGGGCAAATCTTCTCAAAAAACACCTTGCGTGAAGCGCATAGCACAGTTCAATTCAATTCAATTCAATTCAATTTTATTTATATAGCGCCAAATCACAACAACAGTTATCTCACAGCGCTTTTCATAAAAGAGCAGGTCTAGACCGTACTCTGTGATGTTATTTACAGAAGCCCAACAGTTCCCACCAAGAGCAGCACTAGGCGACAGAGGCAAGGAAAAACAGACAGTTGCGTTCATATCTTCACATAATAATTGCCTGTAAAAGTCTTTAAGGCAGAAAAGCAACAGTAAATGTGATGATGTTTCTAAATTGTAATGTCTTGTCTGTGATTATAATATAATAATAAAACTGCTACAATATCAACATAGGGGGTCTGGGGGTACCAATTTCTGCCTTTTCTGCATCAATTTATGGTGGAAATTATTTATGTAAAGGGACACACAAAATTCAGGTAGTAGCAGAGGGCTGTTTCTTTGTTTCAGTTGCTTTTAAATGACCTGAAGGCTGGCAATTCTGCCTTCAGATGTTATGACTGATTACTCGTTTGATCCTGTAGAAAGTCCAAAAACAAGCAACAAACCAACCAGATTTGCGTGCGTGGCGCATTGCTATCATAATAGCGGATGAATGGCGCAGTATAAAAACATCAATTGACTGACTGAACAGCAGATTCATAACGATATAAAAACTCTCTCATGAAGCCAAATGTTCCTCTGCAGCTCTGTGTTTATCAGTGAAGCAGAGTGGAGTCTGTTAACAGACAGACAGGCGCTGTCTCCTCTATGAAACATCTAGATCCTACCCTGCATTATTAGAAACTATGATGAACCGGTCTGGGCGTCACATCTATCCCCTGCAGTGACAAAATGTGGCCTATAGAAATGTTGAGGGAGAAAAAAAAAGTTGTTCGAGGCCGGTGCAGAAAAGTGCCTCAATATTACAGACTTCTCTTTTGTGCTGCTGTTACTTCTAGCTGAAGGCAGCAGTGATGATGTCTGCAGCAGGGGTGGGTACATCTAATGTAGGTCTACTCTTAATTTCGCTACATTTTCCATTCATACCTTTTATAACTTAACCAGTCTGCAATCTGCATTTTTCATTAACCCGAAATGAGCTGTGATCCAGGCTGTGTGCGCGCAGTTACGCAGTAAAGCGCTGGTCGGGCCCTTGCCACAGTCATAAAGCTGGGTAGATGCAAACATTTAGAAAATCAGGCAAATATCTTTTCAGTTTAAGGCTTTATTGTTCTACTAATACAACTGAAATCTAGTGAGCGCACACCACGGCACTGGTGGCCTGTTGGAAAGCAGCCTGTGTCGCTCTTTCACGAGCCGGCAAGTGAAACACTTTCACTTTCCATTAACGGCATTTAGAGCGTCTTTATGAAGACTACACACTGTATGATCTATGTCAGACGATCACTGCATTGATTGAGATATATTAAAAGTGTCCTGTTGTTGAACAGAGCATCGCTTTGGACATTAGCCTGTTTTTTTTATACACACTGGTTACTATTTGATTTATAGCGAAGTCCGACGGTGAGTCCATAAACTGAATGCCGGTGAAACTAATCTTTCACTCAGGAGCTACCAGCTGTTATTTATTTTTGAGATGCACAGAGAGAGAGAGAGAGAAAATATGGTGGATAAAATTGTTCTGTTGGGTTTTACTCGTGACGCACAGCTTCCTCTGTATGTAGGTTTACCTGCTTCAACAAGGAGCTGCTCTCGTGTTACTGCCACAATAATTCTTTGCGTTGTGAAGATTATTTAGATGCTTCAGGAATAATCAGATTGTATTGGCAGCCTGTGCTATTGCAAAGCAAGCGTTTGGTTGGCTACATCTCCATAATAAAAGGCACAGGTAACAAAAGTTGGCCAGGCAGCAAAAGTGATATTTTAAAGTGATCTTATGAACACCTTCATGGAGATTTAAAAAGGAAAATAATTGTAGAATCAGCTAAATTACAGATAATCAGCTTTTTCACTTCATTTGTAGGAATATTTTAATGGGCTACATAAAAAAATAAACTCATCAAGTTGCCTAGTCTAGACAGTCCATTTTTACTCTGATAGCCTATCTTGACCCTTCCTCATGTGAACACATCGGGCTGTGATCCTGCACAGCAAAACATAAAATAATTAAATCACCACACTACCATGGATAGTAGTGGTGCAACGGGTTGCAGAATCCGTGGTATGGATCCCTTCCACAGGGATGCACATTTAAAGAGGTTACCTCAATCAGTCATGCCTGCGTGTGTGTTGATTCAACAGTGATGATATTAAAAGCTGATCTACAGGAGAAACATATCTGAAAGCTGAGAGCTGCTCTGCATTATATGCTGTTACAGTTTTAGATTTTAAATAGTTTTATTATACTTTTATTAACCCAGAAAAACCCTTTTCCAAAAGTGTCCTGGCCAAGGCAGGCAGTAGTACAATTTTACATTTAAGATGGGAATAAATAATCAGTTACAAGATCATAAAATAACAAAATGTTCTTAAATGTTCACCACAATTCAGCAACAAGCACGATCAAACGAGTAATCAGTCATAACATCTGAAGGCAGAATTGCCAGCCTTCAGGTCATTTAAAAGCAACTGAAACAAAGAAACATCCCTCTGCTGCTACCTGAATTTTGTGTGTCCCTTTACATAAATAATTTCCACCATAAATTGATGCAGAAAAGGCAGAAATTGGTACCCCCAGGCCTTTATTTAAATCCTGCCACCTGCTGGTAGAAAGGGGAAACAGCTTTGTTCATTACGGTGGAAACCACATTAAATATCAATTTAATATTAAAAATATAGCGCTGACAGGAACAACTCTGCACCTATATCAGCCTACTGCACCAAACAATGCGCTTAAAAAACGTGACTCCTGACTGCTGCTTACATGAATAAATGCACAATATTATAGTGCATGTAATCAGCTACTGTTGCTAACGTATTTCTCTCGGTCCAGGTTTATTTATTTATTTATTTTCATCTAACATCACCCTGTTTTACGTTAGTGCTACATAAAGCTACAGATCTGGCCGTTCTACAAGCTTGGCTTTTATTTTAAAATGTTTACCATTACTTCCGGGTCACTTGGCCCACCTGTCTTTATTTTCTCAACGTCTATCTTCAAACGGAGAAATAAAAATAGGAATTTCAAAAAACCAAAATCGGACCGTTATTTGAATTTGGTTTAGTCGTTTTTTCGTTTTTGGATTCAGAAACTAGAAACGGAAATCGACTCTTTTTTCCCCCGTTTCTTCGTTTTTGGTTTGAAACGACAAACGAAAAAAAGTGGTTTCACGTTTGTTCGTTTTGTGGTTCAAACGAAAAAACAAACTATCAAAACGTACACGGATCTCTAAGCCTCAAGAGGAAATAAATTATTATTAAAAAGAAGAACTTTTAACATTTATATAGCTTTAACTGCTAATAGTACTTTATCCTTAAAGTAGATTACTTTTTGGTAATATAATTAGTAAAACACTGAATTAAGGACTACTTCTTTTTTTTTTTTTTTTAGTGCTTCATTAACTACTACTGTACATAAAATTATAAAAATGTGTAATCTTTCACTTCATCATCTTTTACATATTAAAATTAATAGTTTTGACTTGGAGTGCAAAACAGAGTTCAAAATTTCCTTTCAGATGTTTGTATTAAAATTTATAACAGTCTAAAAATACAGCAACACTTTTACATGTGAAAAATCCTAAATGTCCAACCAACAATGGAAGTCCACTTTATCTAGACTACAATGAGCCTCATAAACAAGACAGAGAACTTGAGAGAACATTTAATGTTTAAGTTTTTCTTTCAAAAGCAACTCTTACCTGCCGTGAGACAAATGCTGACTCTCCACTGTGATGTTTTGCTGTTCTATGATTACTTCCTTGTGATGTGTCAAAGTACATGCAAATACTTTGTCCATAGATGGAATGATAGGTACCTACATACAATAAATAAGCAGGGGCAGCTTAAAGCATCTGTGGGCTCATTTCAAGAACTATTGTAAGGCCCTACATAAAAGAGAAAACAAAGTGAGGATATAACTTGGTCTGCAATAATATATTCTTAAACTTTAATGCATTGTCTGCATTTTGTTTCTGTCACTTTAAACGATCAGCAATGAACTGTGCTTAATTATCTCGAAAACCTGTTAGGTTTGTTGGGAACAGAAATGATGCCGTGTGCCAAACAACCCTTGTTATTACTATAGCACACTGTAAGAAGTGTGTAGTAGAGCCCTGCATTTCAGCCCGAGCCTGACGGGGGCCAATTTACTCTGGGGCCGGGCTTTGTGTCAGGATTTAGATGAGTGCAAAGCAGGATTGAGCCCAAACACAAGACACTGGAGAACAGACATACAGTTGAGGGGCTTTTAATCCATCAAAAGGAAAACAAAGCTTACAGGTAGTGGAGACTGGCAAAATCCAAATGACGACAGAACAGGTAACTCAGCAGCTGGCAGTGCACACATCAAATGACAAACAACAAACATATATACACGTGAGGGCTGTTTCACAAAATCAGCATAGCAGACTAAGCCGGGATTTTCCAGTTAATCTGTCTGAATTTAGCCTTGACTTGGTTCTCAAAAGTAATGGCACATAAGTTACCATGGTGATTTATTCTGTGCAGCTAGCCTGCTCCAGACCTGTCTAACAGCCAGGCTTGGTTAATCCTGGTGCCTTATCTGTTCAGTCAGCAGTCACTTTGATCAGAAACCAATGTGTTTATTTCAGTTATTCTGTTTTCTCATCTATGTATTTTTGCTGAATTTTTAGCTTGCATTAAAATACCACAGGTAGCCTACATATCGGCAACATGCAGGCTACATATTTTATTTATTTCAGTCAAGTAAAGCCAGTATTTACTGCTTTATTATGGAGCTAAATTAGGGCCAAATGTTTTGTTAATTTGAAAAAAGAAATTGTAATAGAAAAACTAAAACTTGAAATTGAAAACTTTAGATTTTGTCTAAAACTTGAAAAATACAACCATGTATTCAAACTAAAAATAAGTTTGCCAAATTTTTTTCAGTTTAAATAAAATATTGATTTATTTCTGGAAGTATTTTGAAGAAATTATTTGTTTTTACTTTTCACTTTTCCATATTTTGATATTTTAGGACTTATTTTTTTCAGTTCGACGTTTTATGTTTTCAAAGTAAAAGCTTATTATAGATAACTCTCTGTCCTTACATCGATGACAGATTGATCATGAAAGTGGTCATGTTCAAGATCATGTTTGGGTAAAAAACTAATAGCCTATCTAACCGGGATTTGGATGTGAATGAGGAAATGTCAGATAGCTGCTTCAGGCTCCGCAGGAGGGCAGCAGTCAGAGAGAAACTTGTTGAAGTAAATCTCCTGTACGCATGGTCAGGAGCCATAGTCGTCAATTTGTGACGCACTCGGTGTCTTGGTCTCTGAAACCGATCTGTTTCCCTCATCTCAGGCTAAACAAACTCAGAGCTTTCACAAAACCTGCTTTCTGAAACAGGACCAAGATCTGTTCCATTTTAGTTTCATGGTCTGTCAGATCAGTGTCTTTTTTTCTTGTGGTGATCCCTGTTTTATAGTTTATGGGTGTTTGTTTACATGGTTTATTCTGTTATTTTCTGTTGTTTGATTCTCGCCTTGCTTCTGTCATTCTCTCTGCCTCCCTGCATGTCTGTCTCATTGTTTCGATTGCATGTCACCTGCTCGTTAACTGAGGGCTGTTTCACAAAAGCATAATTTAGAGATCCAGGATAACAGGAAAGGCGAGTCTTGAATGATCAGTGCATCCTGGCTTTATCTATTTCACAAAGGCCAAACCAGGCTGAGGAGGAGCGACTATGTCAAACCAGGTGTAATTAATTCAGATAATTGTGCGTCAACGGCTCTCTTCAAGAGACCACACAGTTGATCACAGATTTATTGATGCTGAAATGTAAAACATGTGTGCAGCATACTTTAAAAATAGTGAGAAACCGCGAATAAAGTAGGTTTACGAGAAATAAACGCACACAATTAAGAAAAGACGAGAACAAAATGGCGAGAAAAGGCCTAGCAGACAATAGCAGACCAACTCAACGCGTATGTAGTAGTCATAATTACAATGTTACCATTGAAAGAGTTAGGCTACTTATCAATTTCACAAATTAACAGATGTAGGCCTACACTTTGCCTTTAAAGTGAGCAGTGTACATTAATATGTCAGGAAATGTATTACAGACACTAATCCACACACAATATATAGGCTAGGTGAGAGAAGGGGAACAACCTAACACATTTTGGTTTGGACTAAATAATTTTAAAAAACTGAGTTTGATTGATCATATTTTTAAACAAGCAACACACACATCTCTGCTACGAATGAACACTTTTGTTTCTAGGACCTACCGTTCTTGTACAATTGCGCCGAATGTGGAGGGAGTGAAATGTTACAATTTACCCCATGGGCAGGGTAAAATGGAGATAAAAAGAGATTCTGAGGAAATTGACTGGGAAATCTAGAAACTTGAAAGAGAAGTGATAATTTCAGTGCACACAGTAAGCATGACTATAACACAATGCTCACAAAGCTCCCAGCAGGTGGGTGATCACAGTAAAAATAAAAGGTCAAAAAACATTGTGGTGTCCTCTCCCTGTTGTTTCATGAATAAACAGAACACTCTGTCCAGGGAACAGGGACTATAATTTGGAAGGATTATACAACTAACCTAATAATGACAAACTTTGTGCCACCAATGCCAAATAAAATACATGCACATCGAAACGTAGCACATGCTCCTTAATATTGCAGCACTCTCCCAGTCCATCTGCAGAGCCACTCTAGGAGTGGCAGAGAATTCACCTGAGGACACAAAATGTAGCCAAATTTTTGTAATATGTAATCCATGTCACCTGCAATTTGGTAGAATTTTTCTGTAATGTAGCACATTCTTCTTTGGCCAGGGAAGGTAACGAAGATATGAGAAAATCATTTCACTGCCAATAATACAGTATATTCCGATAAAGGTATGGAGCTAAATTAGGGCCAAATGTTTTGTTAATTTGAAAAAAGAAATTGTAATAGAAAAACTAAAACTTCAAATTGAAAACTTACAACCAAAGACATCTTTTGAAGACGTACAGTGTTAAAAGTTATTGTATTGCAATGTGAAAAGCCCACATAAACTGTTCTGTATGAGACTGTTGCTAATAGTCCAACTGTTCTGTCTCCAATAGAAAGTTCCATGTCCTATCTGTTTCTTGAAATTTACACCACAGTTTGTAGAGATCCATGCTAGCATGTGTGGAGAAAGATAATTTGTATGCGGTACTTTTATGTTAATTTTCAATGTATATGTAACTTGAGTACTTGTTTTTTCTATTCGTACCAGTGTGTCTCACATGTGCTTTTGTAGAGAAAAGGACCATCTTAAGATGACCGAGACACCTGCTGCGAGCCAGAACAACGGAGAGGAGCACATCAAAAGGTAAATACTGTGTTGTCTAAATACATAAACATCTTCATCCTACACAGATCTTAATTCTGGAGCTTTTGTGATCAAAATGAGTAGCTATTTATTGATTCTAAGTTTTGTTTGGCAGTGTTGATGATGTATTGGATGCCATGTGTGGAAGAGTTGACCTAGAGAAACAGTTTAACATCCAAATCTCCAGAACAAACATTCTGGAGAGAGGCCTACTGCAGTGGCAGAGTCAAAAAAAAAAATTAACCCATTGCTGCTCTGAAAGTGACACTCTTTGGGGAGGCAGGAGTGGACACAGGTGCTCTCCGAAAATAATTTCTCACAGGTAAAACAAAAGGAAACATATTTGAGTCCACAGAACAGTCTCTATGAATAATGGGCAGCTCACCCAAATCACAAAGAAATGTTACACTTTTATTAGTAATATGTCCAACTACCAGCTAAGGTCTGTCCTCGAGTTATGTATTAGGTTTTCTATAATGTACAAAAATTAATAAAACAACAACCCAAATTAGACAATCCTTACTAAAATGATCTGAATGGCTAAATAGAAATCAATTTTGAGTCATTATCTTGGTTGGGTTTCCAATTAAAGTAATATGGTCTAAATTAAATGGCTAGTAGTTCATTCACACGATAATAAAATATTACTTGACATAGGAGACCATAGACCAACACAGTTATTGTGTTCGTACTTGTGTCAATAGAAATGATTTCAGGAATTGAGAGCTGTTTCTTTGAGGGGCCAAAGCACCAGAGGAGTCCACGATACTCTCTGACTGACTTTGACAGCGGCCTGTACAAGTAGGTTTATTTTTATGCAAGTCGGGACAAACCGTTTCTTTCTGTGAAATGTCTTTAAAAACATTCATGCTGAATTTGTGTAAATAGGACTGTTGGAGAGATTTTGGCAGTAAGTTTGGCAAAAAGTGGAACGGCCCCTGCCTTTTTCAGCCCATGGACTTAGTGACCTCTGTAGTGGGCAGATAAACCCAGTGACTCTCAATACCGATGCAGTTGCAGATGTCCAGATGCGAGAGTTAATTGATCAGGTATGACCTCTGTATGAAGAAAATGCTGGGTTGATCAAGTATTCCTCGTCAAAAAATATTTTCATGTGTTTAGATGGGAAAGAAATTTTCTTCCTGTGAATTCAATTTTTATTTTCATGTTGAAATGTCAACTGAACATTCAATTGAAGGTCTTTCTGATGAAATCATAAATCATTGTTCGGTATGTTAGGACATATATTTCTGTTTGTACAGTAAAATTAATAAAAGGTATTTTTTTTTGTAGCAATTGTTTCCCTGTCTACTATTGCAGTGCCATTGTACTCCATGCAGTTCTGAGGCTGCAGCCTATGTTGGAACAACTGAGAGAAGGCCTGCAGCTGTATGACCTTCTTTCGCTAATCAGGCAGTACCCAGGTATCTGCCAGCCCCTGTTTGTTCCCGGTGAAGATGTAAAAGTAAGCAAAACAAGACCATTTAGTATTATTATATGAAGAAATGCTTAACTGCTATGACATTTTATAATTAAATGGTGACATGATATACAATTTTATCTCATCATAGGTTAATGCAGAGTTTGTCATGGCATCCATTCTTCCTCAACTGAGTGACAAAGGGACTTCCAGGCATCAGATTGAGCTGGAGATGATTATGAAGTTGAACGTATACAGTTGTTAATGTTCTGCAAATCAAATATTCGAAAGCTCAGTAAAATTTTATGTTTTCATGACATTTGGAGCTGTAAAATTTTCCGGTACCACCTGTAATTATGCTGGTATTGAATATGTTAACGTTATTTTCTACCTGAAAATTTTTGATAATGGTAATAGGTATTATGGACCAGGGTAGCACTTTTTTTGAATACAAGGCTGTAATCACAATGAGTATACATACAGAGAACATACATACAAATGATTGTTTCCCTAAACCCATTGTTCTTAATGAAAGCCTTTACAAATCTATCACTTTTCTATGTAGAAATTATTATCATTATTGCCAATAATGAAAGTATACATAATGGCATATATTCATTGTGTTTGGCTCAGATGGTCATCTCTAAATCATTTAGAAATTTGACTTCTTCTGTGGCTGAGTACCTTTGTCTAATTCACTCTTTTAATTGCAGTAAGGAATAACATTTGCAATGGTCACATAACACTTGTTGTTTTATCCGTTTGCTTCATAGCTGAAGACCAGGGGCATGTAGATGACCAAGATGGCCTACATTCCATCACACCTGCCAGGTTTCTCCAGTGGATCACAGGCCAAGGTCACATCCCACATCTTCCCTCAGAGAAGTTTTGTCGTTTTGCTGTAACGATCAAGTTTAACCATGACTGTAGTGCAGACTTTGGCCATCACAGTGTTTGTTACCCCGTTGTGTCAACATGTGCCAAGAATATTGTACTACCTGTAAAACATATGAGGCCTTATGACCAATTCAAAAAGGTTCTAATTGAGGCTTTTCATCTGGGCCAACAGTTTAACATGGTGTAAATATTTACCATCAACTGATGGTACCTTTTTCTAGGTTGAACTACAACCTACAGTAAATGATAAATGTTTAGCACCAGTTGCTACTGTTTTACTTATGTTCTGATTAATGAAATACATTTCTTAGTAATACGGTGTTCCAAAATCCATATTTGGAAAGAGGAATTAGTCGAGAGTAAACATTAAATTATTGTTTAATAGCAGTACTGTTGAGTATTTCATGCAAACATCTCATCTAGATGTCTGGCTAATTGGCATCATGTTGTCTCACTCACAAGTTGCAGCCCAGCACTCTGAGAAGCAGTTAAAGAATGTTTGTACCATGTAGCTTCACTGCTGTCAGAAACAATAAACATTTAAAACAAGTTCAATGTACAATTTTTGTAACACATTAGTGTTAAGCTGGTTTTCGAAACAAAATTTTTGCATCTACGGTACATGATTTAGCACATAGTTCAATACAGCCAAATAAATAAAAGTATTAAGAAGAGTAATGTGAACAGAACGGATACCATGCTGATGCCAGTATCAATATAGGCTCTTTTGTATTTTATTCAATGCGACCTAAGCTGTTGTTCAGCTTTTAAACCATTTTAAGCACTTTGATATTAGTAAACATTCAAATTCTCTGCAATGTGAATTTGGAAAGAATTAGCTCTGTTATCACTTTAATTAATTTGATACTGATGATTGGAAACCACATAAAATCAGTTTTAATAAATTATATAAAATAATGATGCTACAAAATTAACTTTACATTATCTTGCACCAACTTTTCATCAGTAATGTAATACACCATGAAAATATAATTTCCAAGCTTTATCATGGAATACGTTTTCAGGGATTTGGTTGTGTTTAAAATATTTTAATTAAATGAAACAACTGTAATAATCAATACAAGCAAAATGTAATTAGTACCTCTGTCAGGTCTGGAGCATCAACAGGATTCAGGAGGAGCCCCATCATCCACAGTTGTTGCGGGGACAGACCGAACCTTTAGGTGTCACATTGAACACAGCAGATGCTCTCCAAAGTGACACTGAACGATGACAAATAAGCTGTAGAAATAAACAGAAGAGCTGGTTCCACCGGTTAGTTAAAATTAAACTGGTTTGAGATTCTAAACCGCACCAGAATAGTAAAAACAGATATCAACCCAACTCTATCCAGTGGTAAGAATACAGTAAAATCAAGAAACCATATAAAATACATAACCGCCTCACAGGCTGTGAAAAGCACACTATCTAGCGATATCTGGACCTAGCTATATTAAATATATTATGGCTTCCAGTCAGATATGCATTTCTTTTGAGCTATGTGGATCTGACTTATTTAGAAGAGTTTAATACTTGCCCTATTATGTGCCTTTCATGTTAGGTGTTTTATGTGGTTTCTTTGTTTTGACTTTATCTTTTTGGAAACGTGTGCAGACCTTTGCTTCATGTTTTGTGTTGTTTGTTGTCGAGGCCTCTGGATGTGTGTGACCACTTCACAGTACATAAAGAAAACATACCTTTGGATGTTTACACTCTTTCCTGACAGGAAACTCCCCCTTCCACAGCCTCTAATGGTGAACATGCGTCATGTTTTCCACTCCTTGGTCACCTCTTACTCTAAAAAGAAACCGTCATACATAAAGAAATAAATAAAAAGTTTTTTAAATAAAAATGCATCATTAAATGTTTCAAAATTTAAAAAAAAAGATACGTTAACTTCTAAAATCCAAGACAAAAAAATCCAAAGCACTCTCTTTTAAACAAATAAAATACCTTTATTGTAATGGTATTATCAAACAAGACTTTAAATACCCACTTCAACGTGCTTTGGCATCAGGGAGTCCCTGATGAAGGCTTGATGCCAAAACGTGTTTTAGCACGCATTTCAATTGTTTTATGACCATGCAATTATAATAATGGTCATCTTACTGGACAAAACATTGGTCAAATGAAGAATACTGGTGCTCATGACCAGTATACCATTTGTTTGAGAATTGTCAAATGAAAAACGCTGTACATCCTTAACAAGCAGTTGATAAACATATGACTGAGGTAGGAAGTACCACAGTGAACCACACTTGGTCTTACCTTAATGGAAAGCCATACTTCTGCACTGCCTCCAAGAAGAAATCAAGTGCAGTGGATGCTTTATTATTGGTCGCAGCACCTAGGTACATGATCTGAAGAAGAGAATCACTCACTGGAAATTAAATAAAAGCATTTCATTTTTCAAACCTATAACAAGAAGTAGAACCATGTCTGTCATTTTGAATCTCATTTAGTAGTCATCATACCTTTTGTGAGAAGCCATCAATCCCTCCAAAAATAATAAGGCCATATCTGTTGGGGGGGACGACACTGAATCAGTTTGATGTAGTACTTATATGTAAATTTCTTTGCTGATGCAAAACAAGAGTGTTAAAAATGTGGTGGGGAATTTTTGGGGAATATTATTTTTTTCATTTTTAATATATCATACTGAGCCTGAGCTTTGATTTGACACAGAGGTTAACAAAGACAATCCACGTTAAAGGCATAAAAAAAACTTGAGCTAGTTACTGAAATGAGTGTGAAATTCACAACACTAGCTAGCTTTAGTAGGATGAAGCTAACAGTTCATGCTAATCCTAGCGAAGCTTCATTTCCAGCTTTGTCCAGTTGTCCAACTCAAACGCATTTTCCCTTTATGTGTGTCCCTGCGATAAAATAATTAGCCACTGTGGCATAATGTCACCAAAGAATATATTCAAAACGGCCCATATATTTCACATGTCTTACCTGTGCATTGGCACCAGCGGGTTGCCTTGGCGCTGCGGACGCCATGGAGACTGAATGCAGCGGTGCGTTCATGGTCGTATGTGTAAGTGGGAGAAGTCCATTCTTAAAGTGTTGCTGCTGAACCACACAAACTGGCACAATTTATTGCTCGTATAGTGTAACGTATTGTCAAAACAGCTTTTTAAAGGGAAGCTGGCATTAGTTTGTTTACTGCATATGGTGGAAAGAAAGCATTGAGCCACGGTTCTTGCAGTGCCTACGTTTCTTGAAGGCAACATGACTGAGGAGAGTCCTCTTCCTTCTTTGTTAGACTGTCAACGCCCCTCTCCGTTAAACCACGCCCCCTACGCAAAATCGGGGCCAAAACTCTGAAACTGAAAAGAAATTGATCTAAAACTGAAAAATAGATTTGAAAGTGAAAAAAAAGATTTGATGCAGTAAAAAAAATAAGCTTTGACTGAAAACATAAAACGTGGAACTGAAAAAAATTTTGTCCTAAAATATCAAAACAAGGAAAAGTGAAAAATAAAAACAAATAATTTCTTCTAAATACTTCCAGAAATAAATGAATATTTTATTTAAACTGAAAAAAAATTGGCAAACTTATTTTTAGTTTGAATATATGGTTGTATTTTTCAAGTTTTAGACAAAAACTTAAGTTTTCAATTTGAAGTTTTAGTTTTTCTATTACAATTTCTTTTTTCAAATTAACAAAACATTTGGCCCTAATTTAGCTCCATACCTTTATCGGAATATACTGTATTATTGGCAGTGAAATGATTTTCTCATATCTTCGTTACCTTCCCTGGCCAAAGAAGAATGTGCTACATTACAGAAAAATTCTACCAAATTGCAGGTGACATGGATTACATATTACAAAAATTTGGCTACATTTTGTGTCCTCAGGTGAATTCTCTGCCACTCCTAGAGTGGCTCTGCAGATGGACTGGGAGAGTGCTGCAATATTAAGGAGCATGTGCTACGTTTCGATGTGCATGTATTTTATTTGGCATTGGTGGCACAAAGTTTGTCATTATTAGGTTAGTTGTATAATCCTTCCAAATTATAGTCCCTGTTCCCTGGACAGAGTGTTCTGTTTATTCATGAAACAACAGGGAGAGGACACCACAATGTTTTTTGACCTTTTATTTTTACTGTGATCACCCACCTGCTGGGAGCTTTGTGAGCATTGTGTTATAGTCATGCTTACTGTGTGCACTGAAATTATCACTTCTCTTTCAAGTTTCTAGATTTCCCAGTCAATTTCCTCAGAATCTCTTTTTATCTCCATTTTACCCTGCCCATGGGGTAAATTGTAACATTTCACTCCCTCCACATTCGGCGCAATTGTACAAGAACGGTAGGTCCTAGAAACAAAAGTGTTCATTCGTAGCAGAGATGTGTGTGTTGCTTGTTTAAAAATATGATCAATCAAACTCAGTTTTTTAAAATTATTTAGTCCAAACCAAAATGTGTTAGGTTGTTCCCCTTCTCTCACCTAGCCTATATATTGTGTGTGGATTAGTGTCTGTAATACATTTCCTGACATATTAATGTACACTGCTCACTTTAAAGGCAAAGTGTAGGCCTACATCTGTTAATTTGTGAAATTGATAAGTAGCCTAACTCTTTCAATGGTAACATTGTAATTATGACTACTACATACGCGTTGAGTTGGTCTGCTATTGTCTGCTAGGCCTTTTCTCGCCATTTTGTTCTCGTCTTTTCTTAATTGTGTGCGTTTATTTCTCGTAAACCTACTTTATTCGCGGTTTCTCACTATTTTTAAAGTATGCTGCACACATGTTTTACATTTCAGCATCAATAAATCTGTGATCAACTGTGTGGTCTCTTGAAGAGAGCCGTTGACGCACAATTATCTGAATTAATTACACCTGGTTTGACATAGTCGCTCCTCCTCAGCCTGGTTTGGCCTTTGTGAAATAGATAAAGCCAGGATGCACTGATCATTCAAGACTCGCCTTTCCTGTTATCCTGGATCTCTTAATTATGCTTTTGTGAAACAGCCCTCAGTTAACGAGCAGGTGACATGCAATCGAAACAATGAGACAGACATGCAGGGAGGCAGAGAGAATGACAGAAGCAAGGCGAGAATCAAACAACAGAAAATAACAGAATAAACCATGTAAACAAACACCCATAAACTATTAAACAGGGATCACCACAAGAAAAAAAGACACTGATCTGACAGACCATGAAACTAAAATGGAACAGATCTTGGTCCTGTTTCAGAAAGCAGGTTTTGTGAAAGCTCTGAGTTTGTTTAGCCTGAGATGAGGGAAAC